GGGTCCCTCGGTGGGGTCCTGGGTGTGGGGTCCCTGGGTGGGTTCCTCGGTGGGGTTCCAAGTGTGGGGAACTGGGTGCAGGATCCTGGGTGTCGGGTCCCTGGTACGGGCTCCTGAGCGTGGGGTACTGGGTGGGGGGGGTCCCACAAGAGTCCCAGACGCAACGATCCTGGCTATGGGGTCCTGGGTAGGGTCCCGGTTGTGGGGTCCCAAGCAGCATCCCCCCCCCCAACCCCAGTGACCCCGTTGTCCCTCCGACAGCCGGTTCTTATCCAGCGGGGCCGGTTCGGGCGCTTCCTGAGCAGAATCCGGCGCATTCGGCCCAGGATCAACTTCGACATTCGGGCTAGGGGCTCCATCCGCTTGGGGTGAACGAATAAAGGGGCCCTTCGCGGCCGGCGTGCGTGAGCGGGGCTCCTCGCTGCCTCCCGGCATTCAGGGATGGGGGGAAACTGAGGCAGACAGGGAGGGGGCACAGGCAGGAGCCGGGCGGGCTCCTCTCCCCACATCATTTGCCATCCCTGTCTGCAACTCCACATCCCACCCACACACCAGCAATGCCCCCATCTTGGGGATCAAGGGCTTGGCCCCGAGGGGACATGGGGTCGGCACTGGAGACAGGGCCCAGCTTTGCGCTGGGGAGCCCCCAGGGTATATCCCCCCTCCCAAAAAAAAGAAGTCATTCACATCCTGCCCCCCATCATTCCCACGGCGTCATTGTCCCCACGGTGTTTCATCCCCCCATACTGGTGGTGTTGGCAGAGGGAGGGGGCGTGGGTGGGGGGCACCGGGGCTGTGTGTCCCCCAGGGAGCTGCAAGAGAAGAGGCAGGGGGAGTTCAGCTCCCGAGGGACCCCCATGACGCAGCCCTGCCCGGGGGGGTCCCCAGGCTGCACAAGTGAGTCAGTACCGACCCCAGATGTGCCACCAGGGCCATCACCAGTGGTTTGGGATAGAGATGTTGGAACACAGGGTTGGGGTGCACGGGGACCCCCACACCCCATGAGTGGCCAGCCCGGGGTCGTGGCTGCAGCCCCAGCTCCAGTGGCCCTGTGGGACCCTGAGGATGTCCCTTCCTGTCCCCTCCACCCCCACAATGGGCCAACGTTCCCACACGCTTGTGCCCCAAGCGCACCCCCGTGGGGACCCCGCAGCGGGCACAGGCTCCCCAGGGGACCCTCTAGTCCCCAGGGTGTCTCGGGGAGCAGTGAGGGACCCAGTCCCAGGGGCACGAGTCCCCGCACGAGGCCGGTGCCAGGATGAGGACCCGGGGAGCCAGCGGTGCCCAACCCAGGGGGCTGACCCCGATCTCCCCACCCCAGGACCCTCCTCCATCAGCATCTCCCCCATCCCATCCACCACATCCCCAGTCCCCAGTGGGTGACAGCAGCAGGAGAAGGCAACAGCTGGGCCGGGAAGCAGCTTTATTTGGGGAGGGGGGTGTCGAGGGGGGGGTCCCCAAGGTGGAAGCCCCTCGAGGGGGTCTCATTTCCTCACAATGACCTTGAAGAAGTTGATGCCGGCAGCCACCATCTTGATGGCCACCCTCAGCAGCGGCCAGAAGCGCTTGACACGGATGGGCTGCAGGGAGAGGAGGCATCATGGAGGGGGGGTAACCATGGGGATCCCCCCCACCCAACTCACCCCTCCAGACCCTGGGGTTGCACCCTGCAGTGTGTGTCCCATCCCCTGGGACCCCCCCAACTCACATTGACGGTGGAGTCCACGCAGACGACATCGAGCACGAGGTGGCTGCCGCGCTGCGGCACGGGCACAGAGCAGACCTTGATGACCTGCGGAGAGTGGGGGGCTGAGCGTGGGGACACACGGGTGGGACCGTCCCCAGGCTGGGGGGGCCCCCCGCCATGAGACACCCCCCCCCATTGGCTCTCACCCCGTCCTCCTTGAACTCACAAGCGTCAAGACAGGCACCCGAGCGCGCCGGGCACTGCGTCTCCGTGATGGTGAAGTTGAGGCGCTGCAGGGAGCTGAGCTGGACGTCCTGCGGTGACACGGGGATGGGGATGGGGACAGGGTGAGGACACCCACCAGGGAGAGATGGCATCCATCACCGGCTGCCCAGAGCCAGCCCAGACAGGGGGAGCATCCCCCTGCATCCCACCCTACACCCCAAACCGTGTCCCCCCACCATGCGTAGGTTCTGGCACCACCACCCCCCAGGTCCCCATAGGGACACCGGGTGACCCAGCGGTGTCCCCAAGGTGGTGGCACTCACCGGGGTGGGCTCGGGGTCGGCGCTGAGCATCCTGAAGACGTTCTGCACCTCGGGGCGCTGGTTGAAGGAGTCAATGGCCTGAGCCAGCACCTGGGTGTAGGTGAGGGGGGCCGGGGCGGGGAGGGCGCAGGCCCCCCCCAGCACCGCCAGCACCAGCACCCAGGAGCTCGGCATCCTTGTCCCCATGGCCACCCACCGTATCCCCTTTTATCCCCCACAAGATGTTGGGGAACCCGCCCCGGGGCTCGGCTCCCCCCTCCGGAAACACCTGGCCCCAACCCACAGAGTGGCAGTTTTTTTGGGGGGGGGACAAGGCAAGGCAGGGGTCCTGAAGGGTCCTGATCATCTCCCACATGCAGATGGTGGCATCTCTGGTTCCCCTCGGGGACACGGCCCCGCTCCCTGGGGTGTCCCCCAGCCCGGGAGCCCCTTGGCTGGGCATGGGGAGGGTTGTGGGACCACAAGCCCCCAGGGACCATCCCCGCTCCCCGGTGGGGCACGGGGGGGGGACAGGGCAGCGCAGGGACCCGCAGGGATGAGGGTGACACCGGGAACGTTGCAGGGATTTTTTTTGCAACCCAAAGGCCGGGGATGGGGGAACGGGGGGGGGGGGACACGTCGTCGCCCGCTCAGGGTTTGGTTTTTTTGAGGTCGAGCTTGTCGCGGATCCAGATCTTGGTGCACTGGAAGAAGCCCCTGAAACGTTCCTTGATCCTGGCAAACAAGTCTGAGAGCCTGGATGTCTGGATACGGCCGAACTGGGAGGGGAAGAAGCGGCGTCGAACCTCGGGGAGATGGGGCGGGAGGGGGAGGTGTGACCCCTGTGGGGACGTGCCCCACGGCAGCCAGCGAGGGGAGCGGGTGACAAAGCCAGGGGATGCGTTGGGGACGGTGCCATTTTGGGCACCTCCTTACCGTGGTGGGCACCTTGTCGCAGGAGAGCTCGACCACGGGCTGCTGCTGCTCGAGGAAGACAAAGCCCTGGCACCAACTCACCGCCTGCAGGGAAGCAGAGGGTGGGACATGGGGAAGACGAGGCCGAGAAGAGCCCTGACCCTCCCCACTCCCCGTGCCTCAGTTTCCCCATCGGCTGCTCCCCAGTTCCCTGTTGGGGACAGCAGCAGGCAGCCCTGCAGGACAAAGTCTCACCCCGAGCCAGCGGCTCTTGCAGGTGGCAGTGGCCATCCCCGGAGCCCGGCACGAGGTCTCCTCGACAGTGAAGCTCAGCTCCTGCCGCTGCCGCAGGTCCCCGGGCTGGGAGAAGGGACAGGACATGTCAGGGACCTACGGCACTGCCATCCCCAACGCCCAGCCCCAAATGGACTGGATCCAGCCTGGAGCTGGGCCAGACTCAGCCCCCCAACTTGGGTGGGCTCCATCCCTGCAAGGGATCAGACCCAGCCCCAAAACGGGCCAGATTCAGCCCTGAGAAAGGTCAGATCCTGCACCGCCCGGGCCCGGTGCTGCTCTCAGGATGGAGGAGCTCAGCGCTCACCCAGCCGGGCCGGGGATAGGCTTGCCGGAGCTGCAGGACATAAGGACTGACGGCCCTCATGTTGAGCAGCTCCACGGCCGCCGAGACGGCATCCCCGTAGCTCACGGCCCAGACCCCCGGCGAGGACGGCGCGATGGATCCTTCCAACCCCGGTGTGGATCCATCCGGCCCCGGCGTGGATCCATCCGGCCCCGGCGTGGTGGCTCTGGCCAGCCCCAGCAGCAGCAGCAGCGGCACCGCTCGGCACGGCCTCATCCTGCCTCCTGCCACCTGCCGTGCCAGGGAGCCCTTTTATGGGAGCTGGTCCCGATGTGCCGGCGTCACCGTCATGGGCGTTCCCATGGGTTGACTCTTGCTTCTGTGCCAACGGGAAATTCCTGGTGGGCCAAATCTGGCCGGGAGCCAAGTCCGTCCCTCTTTGGTCCCCAGGCCACCGGAGAAGGGGTCCCAGCACCGGAGATGGGTGCTGCTGGCCTCCTCTGGGGCTTGGCAGAAGAAAGGTCACAGGGTTTGGGGTCCCCCTGCCATGGGGGTCCCCGTGGAAGGGCACTGGGTGCCTGGGACGGGTGACAGCGAGGACAGCAGTGATATCGAGTCACAATGTGACCATGGAGGGTGCTGGCCGCAGGCACCACGAGCCACCCCGCCAGGGCAAGGTGCACCCCAAGGTGACCACCAAAGAGCCAGCCCGGGTTTGATGGGGACATAGGGTGACACCACGTTGGGTTTTCTTGCTCCTGTTGGATAAAGAAGCCACCCTGCCCCACGGCCGGGGCTTTCCAGCCCCCCAAGGTGTTTTATGGTTGGGCGGAGCGGTGGAGACATCTGTCCCTCACAGCAAACAAGGTGGGTTTGACCAAACACCAGCCCCAGGAGCAGTCACCCTCTCCGAGGCCAAGCAGGAACCTCCAGGACGTCAAGGAACCCTGCCCAGAAGATGACCGTCCGTTCAACCTCTGTCTGCACCGCCATGCGCAGTGAGGGGAAGCCCAAAGCCACCCAACAGGTTCAGAGCTCCTAGCTGGTGGAGGCTGTTAAGTACATTCTCCCAGCGGCTTGTAAATCAAGCGAGGACAAGCGTGCCCGGGTCAGAGCTAGTGGGTGGCATCTGGGAAGTCCCCAGGGATGGATGCGGTCAATCACAAACCCATAGGACAGCCCTGGAAAGATCCAGGTGCAACCAGGTCCAACCTTCCGTGGAGAAAGGACCCTCGATGGGATTATCTTGCACCCCATCCAGGTTCATCTTGAGAACCTCCAGCCATGGGGACTCCACCGCGTCCCTGGGGAGGTTCTTCCAGGGAATGACTGGTCTCACTATACAACCTAAGCTGAGATGAAACCTCTCCCAGTACCCATTGCCCCTTGTCTTCTCCACGTGGCTCCTTAAAAGCTGCCACCCTTTGAATACTGGACACCTGTGATGAGGTTCACCCTGAGCCTTCTCCTCTCCAGAGAGAAGAGACCCAACTCCTTCAGTCTTTCCTCCTAGAGCAGGTTCTCCAGCCCTTTGACCATTGTCCTGGCCCTCCTTGGGACCCTCTCCAGTCTGTCTGCGTCCTTCTTGACTTGTGGGGACCAGAACTGGACACACCACTCCAGGGGTGGCCTGGAGGATGGCTTCCTGGGCCAGGCGACTGAGAAGCCAACGAGGAGAGGTGCTCCACTGGACCTCCCGCTTACGAACAAGGATGAGCTGGTTGGAGATGAGAAGGTTGGGGGCTGTGGTGACCATGAGACAGTGAAGCTCAAGAACCTGAGAGGGGGAAGCTGGGCAGAAAGCAGGATCACCACACCGGCCACTTCTAGAGAGCAGAATTTGGCCTTTTCAGGAACCTGCCTGGAAGAATCCCATGGGATACAGCCCTGGAGAAAAGAAGGGTTCAGAAGAGCTGGTTGATTTCCAAAGATCATCTTCTCCAAGCCAAACAATGGGCCATCCTGACAGGCAGGAGATGAAGAGAGGTGGCCAACGGTCTGCATGGATGAGCAAGGAGATCCTGACTGAGCTCAAGGACAAGAGGGACGTGTACAAGAGGTGGAAGCACAGACAGGTGATGTGGGAGGAAGATGCAGACACTGCCCAAGGTGCAGGGTTGGGTTTAAGCAAGCCAAAGCCCACCAGGAGGGGTTGTACCCCACAAGAAGGCGGTTGGGAACCATCAGCATGGACTGAAAATGGGCTCAAAGGCCAGACCCAGCGGGTGATGATCAGCAGCACAAGGTCCAGATGGAGGCTGGTCACTGGTGGTGTTCCCCAGAGGTCCATACTGGGTCCAGTCTTGTTTCACAACTTCATTAATGATCGGAATGATGGGGCAGGGTGTACCCTCAGCAGGTTTGTAGATGACACCCAGCTGGGAGGAGTGGTTGATGCACCAGAAGGTCATGCTGCTGTCCAGAGGGACCTCAACCAGGTGGAGAAATAGGGCAGCAGGAACCTCATGGGGTTCAACAAGGAGAAGTGCCATGTCCTGCACCAGGGGAAGAACAACCCCAGACAGCAGGACATGCTGGGGAGACACCCAGCAGCTCGTCAGAGAAGGCCTTGGGAGTCTTGGTGGACACCAAGGTGACCGTGAGCCAACACAGGAACCGGTTGCTGAGAGGGGCTGTCTTGGAGATACCCAAAACTCAACCAGACGTGGCCCTGGGCAACCTGCTGTGGCTGAGCCAGCTCTCGGCAGAGTCCCTGCCAGCCCCTTCACGCTTCCTCAACTTGAGACAAGCTTTTGAGGAACACAAATCCCTTCCAAATTCTTCAATCCCTTCCAAATCCCTCAATTCCTTCCAAACCCCTTCCAAATTCTTCAATTCCTTCCAAATTCTTCAATTATGCAGAAAATTGGATTCAGGTGGGACACCGGGCACCAGCGGTCCTTGCCAGGACTCCTGCCCCTCTGCAGCACAATGCCAAGGTGAGCAAAGCCAACTGCCTTTTATTGGAGCCAAAATCTTTCCAGATATGAGAAGGGAACATCCAGCCGAGCAGCACCCACATCCTGTAGGGAGACAGCGCCCAAAGCGAGAGTCCCACGGGAGGGTGCACCAGGCCTCCAGAGGAAATTTTTTGCTCCATTTTTCCTGCAGCTCATACTCGCAACCTAACAGCAACCAAAACCAGTATGGAGACCTCTAAATATTATTTTTAAGCGTCCTGTGTAAACCTTGAGCAGGCTTGCCCCTTTCGAAATAGACACGAAATCCTGCAAGGCCATTTTTGGAACAAAAAGGGAAAATTTGGCGAGTTTTAGTCAGGTAACGCCATGTTCACGCAGCTACACGCATTTCACAAGCCAACTCCCCACCGCCAACCAGGGCAGGGGGGGTGGTGGTAAATAACACCCCCAAAATAAAACATAAAGGCCTTGAGCCATTGAGAAATACCCCGCTCGTAAATCAGCATCTCTCGCTTTATTTGATCGCCGCAAAAATCGAGCTGCCCCTCCTCATTCCTGGCAACCCACAGATTTATTTGTCTTTTATTCGTTCCCACAGCCGGGCCCCGATCTGTTTGGATGCTCTAATAACAGCAGGAAATAAAACACAGGGGTCGGGTGAGGCAGAACTCAGCTAACCTTACTGGTGAGAACCTCAGCAGGTAAAGTGAGGACACGGCTGGTCCGTCAGCGCTGGGGCAGCAGCCCCGGAGAGGGCTGGGAGCAGGGGGTGGAAATCC